ATTGTAGATTTCTCGTACTTCACCTTCCTGGTAACATCAAGTGGTCTCAGCAACATGTCCTATGAATATCTATGCCTTGCAGACTTTCATTAAAAGTTAAAAAATGGGTCAGGGTTATAAAAACTATCTTATACTTTAACATAACCCAGAGACCCCAGAGTGGGTAAAGGGTAAGTACACCTGGAACACTGAATGACTCTCAAGAATTCTCATAAAATAGCATTTTATCACCATGTTAAATTCTGTATGCTTATTCTTGAACAAGAAGATTAGGATAGGATAAAGAATCTCACTTTTGCTGTTTCTTACCTTGTGAGTGCCTGTTTTGGCTTTTGTTTTTATGTCTTCTGCGTGTGTTTTGAAGGAATTTTCCAGATTGTCAAAGCAAAGTGCAAAAATAGGTATTTCAATAAATATCATCGTATTAACACCAAAATGCTCAGAATCTATATGTGGACCTTCCTTGTTTGAGTTTATGAAGTAACTGAAACTTGGAACAGGTTGGCATGCAGTAGGGAATAGAGTAAGCACACTAGAAAACCATTTCAAGTTATCCTATATATATGTGTGTGTGTGTGTGTGTGTGTGTCTTCAATAGAGGTTTGCCTAGAACAAATAATATCAGACTCATCTAATTCCTTCTTTCTATTCCAGACTCATACAGATGAGAAACTGAAGGCTTTTGACAGCATTCAATGATATCCTAGTAAACAGACGAAGCAAACATTTTCTAGAAGAAACTGTTTAAGGTTTCAATGAAACTGGTCAGAAAACTACATTTGGATAGAAGGTGACAATTTTACATTGTCAAAATGAAAAAGTTCAAAGACAAAGGGATTCAGTTGCAAAGAGGAAGGATAAGAGACAGCTGGCTAAAACTAAGACACAAGCACATGTGCTATTGGTGTCATGTTCTTATGAGTAATATCATACAGAGCCATATAAACAAAAACATGGCTTCTAAAATACATAAAAATCACTAAGCTTTTATCTGGAGTACCATGGGTATGGTACTTCAAGAAAGATTGGACCTCTTTGAGTTTAGAGAAAAAGAGCAACTGTGGTAAAGGTCTCAAAACCATGACTTACAAAGATTAACCCATTCTGTTTGATTCCTGGAGTCCTTGTCATGTCCTACCATGTTCCTGTTTTTTCTTCATTTTCCTTACTGGGATTCCAGTTCCCTTCATTATTGATCTTCATGAAATTTTCATCACCTCTGCCTTTGTCTTTTTTCCTCCAGGCTGCCCATTCAAAATAGTTTTTTCCTGTTCTCTCTTTTAGTTCTTGTCTCACCTATATTTGATTGTTATAGTCACACACATAGATTATTCCTGGGTACCTATAACTAAGTAGTTACTGAAAACAGAAGGGAGAGAGTGAGATAGTCAACATAAGGTACTGAGACTCAGTCAAAGTAAAATTTCAGGGTATGTGAAATCTCTGATGGTTTTATTAGTCAATAAACCACTATAAAGCATCTACCATGTAATTGGTAACACAATTTGTAAAGTTCTTATGAGAACAAAAAATATCCACTTCTCACTGCCACATTCCCAGTCCCTGCTCACATGGCATATATTTCTTACAGAAAAAGGCTGACCACATTTCTACATGTCAAATAAAAATAAGTAAATTAAATCGAGCCTGAAGCAGACACCTGGCATAAAAAAATCTTGACTCAAACAATTTAAGTTTAGTAACTTTGTAAATAATGGAAATCAAAGCCATATAATGGAAAGTGTTGAACAATCTTAGTAAAAATCACTTGATATCACAAGCTCTACCTATAATAATTTTTCCTTAATGTAACTGTATCATATCCTTCAACTCTCCAGATAGAGGCTCATTTCACAGATATCTTTGTCATTCTGAATAAAGTTCAATGAAAAGAATTTTGTGAGAACAATGGATGTTTATAAACAGAAGCTCAGGGAATAACCATGGTAAGAGCATTCTTTTTTAATCTCTCTGATATTATAAAAATATTATTTTTGTGCTGAAGCCACAAAAGATAATTCTTTTTCCCCTAAAGTTTAAAAGTCTATTATTTTTAAATGATGACCCACTGCTTCACTCCTAAGAAAAAAAAATTAACAATGAAGTGCCATTCTGACACATAGGAAAAAGAATTATTAGAGATATTGTACAAAGATTACACATTAATGTAGTGAAGAAAATAACCTGTCTTCTCTTGTGCATAAAATCTGTGCAAGAACAATTAAAGTTGTGTGACTCTTTTACTTCACTTCTGGTGTTACACAATAATCAGTAGGAGTGGAAAACTGTGGAGTGGTTTGCTATCCTCTGTGTGTGGATTCAGGGGGAGCTTTGAGCTTTGTGTTCTTCTGAGCAACAGGAATAAGACTGATGTTTCTGGTAAAATTTCTGTCTTGTTGTAATTGTAGTATTTGCCTTCTTATTTGCTTCTCTGACAAAAAAGTTTTGTCTTGTTTGCAGTCCTATTCATGTCTTGCTCAGATGATTTTCACCTTTATAACCTACATTTTATATAGTCCTAAGTTCAAACTGTAAAATGTATTTTCAGCAATTTCTGTTAAAATATCATAATCAGATAATTCCCATAAATCCATTGCAACTTTTACCAAGGTCAGAGTTTAGTTTCTTGCCGTCACCTTCAATAAACTGTGTAATACTCCCTTACCTACATGTGGACTGTCATTCCTTCCTTCTTTGTTGTTGCTTTACAGGCTCATGTAAATATACCATCTTGCAACTGCCAGAAATAATTGTGTCTCATGGAAGGCACACAATTCTGAGTTACACACAAGTATAAGGAGTTTTTTACCTTTTCTGGCCCAAGGATGTCTGTATCTGTCTCCAACAAGTATGGGGAGAGGTCAAAACCCCAGAATTTTCCCAGAGATGATGTTCTCAGCTTCAGACAAAAGTCGAATAGGCTCAAAATAGCACTCTCAGAAGTTCCTGGTCCTATTTCAAAAGTGATCCATGGAGATACTCTATTGTCTGAAATACCAAGTTAGGGCTGATAATGATTTATTAAAATTGTCCGTGCCCTGTAAGAAGAAAGTAGTAAATTTCCTTAAGACTAATTGGAAGGTTTAAAAAGGTGGTATTGATGTGGTAGTGCCTGTTCTGGTGAGAATGTTTCTATTTAAAAAAGGCTGCAGAAATTACTCTGAAAAATATTGTTTATCTTCCTAGATATGATTTTTAAAATTTGTTTTTAAGAGTTGTATCTTGGAGAGATAAGACAGAGAATTATCATTTATTTATTGATGAATAAGGAAGCTTCGGACTCAGATGTCTCACCTTTGAAAACACTTCGACTTCTTTTATTTGATTTATAAACTTTGCTCGTGTAAAAGGAGCAAAATTATCTCATCGACCAAAATATTTTCCTAAATTTCCTTTCCAGGAGGATGGCTTGATCAAAAAACATGAAAAAACTGGAATTATTTCCTTTAACTGAGTATTGAAATTGTGTAAGTGGATTACTTGTTGTCAGGATATTTAACAAAGGACTTTCTTCCTCAGTTTAGATTTTTTTTTTATGAGCATATGATTTTTCACTTTTAAATTGCATTAATTTCATTATTGTGGTGATTTCTAGAGGTTTACTTATTATAAGTTTACTGCATTGACAATGGTTTATACTCAAGATGCTCATCACCTTTCAACAGCAGAGCTCATAAGGTCCTGTAAAAGACAGTCTGGATAAAACAGAGTAAGAACAGAACTTGACCACCCAGGAAAATAATGTTAAATCCCATCAACTTCCACTAATAACTAGTAAGTATTGTCAATATCTCCCTTGTTACTCAAGTGTCAAGCAACTAACGCAGGTCAGTTGGACTCATAAATTATCTAAAAGCCTGTCCTTTACACTTTCACCCATAGTAGAGCCCTTTGTATTACTTGTTCACTTACGATCCTTTTCCCCTCCCCTATGGATCATTTATGAGGACTGCAAATAAAAGAACTGACATAAATGCACAGTGGACAGCAGCCTTTGAATATTTGATGCAGGTAACCTTCTAGAGTATTGAAATGGGTACTAGAAATTTAAAGCTCTAAGTGAGGTTCAGAGAACAGCATGATGGTCAAGATTCTTATATGTTCTCCCATTGTAAACATTTTCAACCAACCTAAAAAGTATATGTTGTTGTTGAACTCACAGACCTTTGTATGACTGTTTATTTGTAAAATATTCTCCTTTATGGGCAGTAAGACATTAGCTGATACAAGCAGCTATTATTCTTGGACTGAAGTTCAGAACCACTGTTGTCAACAACAGGGGAAGCAGTGTTGTTTTTTTAACATTGCAGTTCTGCAAATAAAAACCATAGGATTAATATCTCAATATAAAGCAAGAGTGGTAGGGATACAAAGAAGCACTCACAAAATGGAAGTAAAGATGCAGTGAGTTTGGCCTTAACCAGACCATTTCTGTCAAATGTTCAGATTACCAATGGCTGTGCAAATGCACTCACATTCAATAGCACATACTTGAAAACTGCTCTCCTAAGACCATAAAGATGACCAAGTGTGGTAAAGTCACCATCTTGAAACCAGAAGGCTTTTAGCAGGATCTCTAAAAGTTAGATTTATATCCTCGAGGTAACAAACTTTAAACTGCTTTGCAGAAGTTTCTTATGTTCATGAGAAACCAGAGCTATAAGTAGAAATAACATGGTAATTTTTATGTTTTCAATATTTCCAACAGCATCAACAGCTTTCATAAAAGAAATACAATTACATTCTCGTCCCATCAAAGCATTAGGAAGCATAACCTATAGTTTAATTATTAAAATGTTTTTATTTTCAAAAATCAGTAAGCTATGATCCTCATTCTTTAGTGTCTTTTTAAAATATATCATACATTAGAGAAAAATAGATAATACAATACAGATGGAGGAATTCTAGGCAATCAGACACCAATCTGAATAAGGAAAACTGTATTTACGATACAGTTATACAATGCATATGATATGCATATTCTAATTTTATAGTACTAAATAAGGAGGTAGAAACCAAATTCACAAAAAATGCTATGTGGGAACCACAGCAGGTGCACAGAACATGAGCTTCACATAGTGCTTTCTGGAGGGAATTCATCTTAAGTAGTGTTTAAGCACTGCTTCTTAAAATGTCTTCAGTTTCTGCAGTGTTGTGGGTTAACCCTGGCTGGCAGCTCAGGACTACCCAGCCACCTGCTGACTCCCCACAGTGGGCTGGGGGAGAGAATTATGAGGGTAGAAGTGAGAAAACTTGTGGGTTGAGATAAAGATAGTTTAATCAGTAAACCAATGCAAAGCAAGGAATTAATTCACTAATTCCTGTTGGCAGGCAGATGTTTAGATATTTCCAGGAAAGCAGGGCTTCATCCTGAATAGCGGTTACTTGGGAAGACAAATTCCATCTCTCCTGACACCTTCCTCCTTCATCCTTATTCTCTGCAGATGTTATTGCAAAGCAAGAGATCATATGATATGGAATATCCGTCTGGTCAGTTGCAGTCAGCTGTCCCTGCTGTATCCCCTCCCAGATTCTTGTGCACCCCCAGACTACAGAGTGGTGAGACAGTATGAGAAGCAGAAAAAAAGTGCCTTGATGATGTGCAAGTACTGCTTAGCAACAGCTAAAACATCAGTGTGTTATCAATACTGTTTTGGCTTTACAAATCATAGCCCCGTAGAAGTTACTATGAAGACTTACTACTCTTTCCCAGACAAAACCAGTACATTCAGTAGAATAGAGTGCGAGACTAGAGACCACTAGCCTAATAGTTTACATAAAATGCTCCCTTACAGCGTGCTTGTGGTAAAAAAACTCAGCTTCATGCTGCTGTTACCACGCGCAGTTTCTTTTTTATAATTAGTGTTGTCACATAGCTTTTTCCTGCACTTTTTGTACATACAGGAGCTTCTGCAGGCTTGTGCCTTGTGCTTTAGGTACTTTCTGTGCATTTTGAATAATTATGCAAAGTTTTGTAACTACACAAATCATAACTTCCCTTATCTTAAAACTGCTCTCGTGCTAAAAACTGTGTGAAAAAATAAGATATTATTTGCAGGGCCTTTAGATTATGTATTCTTGTCTGCTTTTTAACTACCAACATTCAAATTTACAGGTACTACTACAACTTCTGCCAAGCATTATATTATAGAATCATAGAATCATTTGGGTGAGAAGGGACCTTAAAGATCACCTAGCTCCAACACTCCTGCCCTGAGCAGGAACACCTTCCCACCTTTCCACCACTACAGTCTATATTTTTTTTTCTGTTACCCTTTACATGCAAATTCCAGTCTGCCATCCTACATACTTACAAGATATATCAGGATCTTTCTCTAAACTGTTTGTTACTTTTATGTTATCAACATTGCTTTCTCCTGTATTTTAAATGCTGTCTTATCTTGCGTCATTTTCTAGAATCTTAGCTATTACATATATCATTTTGCTTTGAAATTTCAGCATGTGCTAATACTGTATAATTTACACTAATAGGGCCACATTTTAAAATGTGAACTCTGGTAGCTGCAAAATCTGCAACTTTATATGCAGAAAATCTACATAAGCAGTTCACTGGCACCCCTCTGAAAATGCATGTGCAATGTCTTGGGTGATTATTTGCAGATAAATCTGCATAAGCTGGATGTAAATATTAAACATGGAACTCAATCTTGAAAAAGAATCTTGCTCACTGATGAGAAAAAAACTTTCAATTTGGAACAGTTTATGAGAATTCCTTCCCCGTGTCAAACCAAGCAGCTTCAGTTGCTTAGGATCATAACATGGAAAACACATCAGCTTCAAAGGACTCTGACAGAGTCTGAATTAGCACATTAGGAAAATCAATACCACCCACCTACATCATGTGCCAGATAATACAGCAGAGCTGGGAAGAGAGAGAAAAGACTCATCTGATGTGACAAAATTATAAACTTCTCTGGTGGGCTGACCTTGGCTGACTGCCAGATGCCCACACAAGTGCTCTCTTACTCCCCTTCATCAGCAGGCCAGTGGCTGAAAATTAGATGGAAAAGCATGTGGTTTGAGATATGGACAGGGAGGTTCCTCACCAATCACTATCAGAGGCAGACCAGATTTGACTAGCAGAATATTAATTTAGTTTATTCCTAATTAAAAAGAAAATATTAAAGTAGGATAGAGAGAAACAAAGACTGAAACCACTTTCCCCTTATCCTACTCTTTCTTCCCAAGCTCAACTTCACTCCTTTGTTCCAAAATCTTCTACCTCCTCCCCACTCTACTAGCAGTACAGGGAAGATGGGAAATGGGAGTTGTGGTCATTCAAAACATTTTGTCTGTACCACTTCTTCCTCCTCAGCTCTTTTGCTGTTCCAGCATGGACTCCCTCTCGCTGGATACAGTCCTTCACAAACTGCTCCATTGTGTGTTCATCCCATGGGCTGCAGTTCTTCATTAACTGCACTAGCATAGGTCCCTATGCCAGAGTTCCTATCAGAAAACCTTCTCCATGAGGTCTCCTCTCCTCAGACTGCAGCTCTTGCCAAGAGCCCGCTCCTACATGGTCTCTTCACAATCTGCAGCTTCCATCAGGACAGGTCCACATGCTCTGGTGTGGGATCCTCCACAGGCTACAGGTGAATGTCTACTCTGGTGCCTGGAGTACCTTATCCTCTTCCTCTTCACTGACTTGGGTGTCTACAGGTATTTCTCTTGTATTTTTCTCACACCTCTCTCTCACAGCTGCTGCACAGTGTCTTTCATATCCTTTCTCATGTATGTTTTCCCTGGAAGGCTCTGCCACTATTGCTGATGGACTTGGCTTTGGCCAGCAGCAGGTCTAGAATAGATATTTCCTCAGAGTTTAATTAGAAAAGAATAAATGTAAGCAATGAAGGTCATTGTTGAAAAGGCATGTTCTTATTGATAACAATATAATTTGTAGCTGCTTTCTAACTAAAGTATGCTTAAATGGCTAATTAGAACATCCAAATAAGCTCTTTTAGAGTAAAAAGCCTTTCCTTCCCATGACACATTTCTCAGAGATGTCTTTAATGCTGACTGTTCTTCGGGGAATTCATGTTTAAACAGATAGATAATTAAAAATCTGTCTAAATATTCCTGATTTTTGTTATGCTTAGCTTTTGATTAGCTTTAATCCTTATCTTTGTTTTATGTCTGTGTTTAATACCCTGCAGAACTTTCCTGAAATGCATTTCTACAAAATTGTACCTGGGCAAATACTGCAACATAGTGAGTACAAGTATTTCACTGAATTTAGAAGAACTTTTTCTTCAACCATATTATGCTTTCAAAATAAATATTTAAATAACTGTGTTTTCAGTCTTATACCTTTTTCCCCCAAATAGCTTTTTATATGAGTAAATGTACTCTTATACAAGGATAAACTTGTACTTTTCTTAGTTTTATCACTGATTCTTCCATACCATTTGGTATTCTATTTCCCTCCATTTTAGTAGGCATCAGGTCTAATAACAACAAAACACACATGACAAATTACAACAAGACATGCAATACAGTTCAAAACATACTATAAGTTGTAATATACTTCTTCAAACTATTTATAGTTTATATAAACAAAACTGTTACTTAGACCACTTATGTAATAAAACAACATAATTGTGGAAGCAGAATGGGTTTTATATAAAAAAGGTTAAGTTTATTAGAAAACTTATTTGTAATGAGTAAATAAATTTTCTCTACCACAGTACTTGGCATGTAACTCTTTAAATCTAAAGAACTGAGAAAATGCATCTAGACCTGTATTTATTTAAATAATTTGTTTTTTTCTAATTTTTGCTTTTTTCCCTATCTTCAGTTATTTACTGCACTGATTGTTTTGCTGGGTGGGGGTATTCAGACTTCAGTTTTAGTCATCCAAATTCCTTCCAGCATGACTAAGGAAGGGGCTCACTGAACAGCCAGTGGTGCCCTTATGAACAGATGGCAGAAACTGATGCTGTTTGCATCAGATCACCCATTAAACTCTGGTGAGACTGCAGGGGCTAATTCTGCATCCATCCCTGTAGACTATTACATCTCAATGCACTGATTTAACTATGCATGAGAAAACTGAAAGCAATTGTGGGAAAAGGTTACTTCCCCTTCACCCTTTGATCATTTGAGCTTCAGATATGTTAAAAGACTGTATCATCCACTGGTAGAAGTGAAGAATTCAGTCTGATCTGAGAACTTAAGAAGGAGAGCTGTACCTATCACTCTATTAAAGGATCAAATAAATATATCATCATGCAGAGTCAAAAAACATTATTGTTGAACAGTATATTTGGGGATAGTTGAGCTCCTTTACCCCTTTTCAAGTAGAGAAGATAGGCTATGGCATTACATGGAAAGAGAAAACTGTTGTAGAGCCCACTGCCAAGGCCTGTGATCAGAAAATGAAATCATTGTTTGTTCACTTTCTCCAGACTTTTTTTGTTTAATTATTATTTATGCATGCCTCTGCACTTTGAGTTACATGTTTTCTCTTAGTGATTATTTATTTCTACCATACAGCATATGTAAAATCCTGCTGCCAGAGAATGGGTCCACAATAAGTTAATCATGTATATTATACTGCAGTTACACTATGACCCTGTCTGCTTTTCCACCTTGTCAAAAGCGATTTAAAATTTCACCTTACACTTACCAGTAGTTGGGCTCGATTTCCTTGTGAAAGTTTTATTCATATCTGGTCATTCTCTGAAATAAGTAGCTACATGTTTGTTTAATGTATCCTTGGCATATGGATTAGCTCCCAAACTGACAAGCTCTTTAGCACTCATGGCCTGGATTTAAGAATTCATTGCCAGAAATATATCAAAACATTTTCTCCTTCTTATCACGAGGAGAAAATGCTGATCACTCAAGACACATTTATATTGGCTTTAGCTGCATATTCTTGGTATATTTTGAAATAAGATGTTTTATCAAACAGTATATTGTCTAATTTAGTTTTGACAGCATCTATAATGAAAAATTATGGCAGATACTTTAAAAGGAACAGACTGTATTGCAGAGAACTTTCACACAATATGTTGTGTACTATGGCATGTGTGCCACTGAATTCTGAACAAACTATAAGCATGTGACTGAAATAGAAAAGATTTATAAAAATTTCTTTAGAGAAGCAAGTGTGACTGAAGAGAGTGAAGAACATTTTACCACATTGAACAGAGACTGTGATTTGCATACAGGTTAAAATGGGTGTTGGTACTCATAAGAACAGAGGATGTACCTGATTCTGTAGCCATTTCTCACTGAAATCTTCTGCAGGAAGCAAGGCTGTGAAATAGATTTAAGATATTTATTACAGAAATTAGTTTCTGGCATTAGCCTTCAAGGATATATTGAAGAAACTGCTTTCCATAGGCTTATTGAGGTCAAATGAGAATGGCTTCCAGAGGAAAGCTTTATGGCAGTACTATGTGCTTACGGAACTGCTTCTTACTGGATAAATCAGACTGCATTAACAAAAGTAGAGCTTCTTTCTGCAAGTAAAGTAACTACCTCTCTAAGTATTTCAAGGTGTATGTAACCTGTAGGTCACCCAGTCTGATAATGTCTGCACCAAGAAAGTTATTGGGCCATATTGCCACTTGATCTGGACCTGTGTGCTTGGTTTTGTTTGCATACCAAAGAAGAAATGGGAGCAGAAATCACAGAGAGGAAGATAATGAGAATAGTGAATGCTCATATCCTGTCATGTTGAGGAACTGGGACACAAATGAGAAGACTTCAGGTCAAAGGCCATCTCAGCATAAATCTCTTTTCTGAAACTGGCAGAACTCTGGAGAACCATATAATTAAGAGGTGGCTTCAAATACCTTCTTCAGACACCTGTGTTACTCAACAAACTGGTTTGTTGCTGAATGTGAGGAGTCCTTATGCCTCAAAACATCCATAAGTTTCCATGGTAGTGCAGTTTAGCTGCCTCAAATATTACACAATCTTTTAATAGGGTGTTCCTTGAATTCTCATGCCTTTGGTACATGCTCACAAAGTCTCAATCCGTGTAAAAGACTACAAAGAATAAAATTTTTAGACTGATGTTCATGCCCCCATTAGTTGATGGTTATTTTATTATACCAGCATGTGGAAGACCCCAGTTCAAAGCTTTATATTATTTGATATCTGACAACCACCAGTCCAATCTGCAACATGCCGGTAGCTCAGATTATGGCACACATTATCTCACCATGATGTCATTTGTTGCTCTGGTGTGAGTGTCTTTGCGTTTTCATTTCTGAAGAGTCTTTAATGTGTAGAAATCATATTTATTTCTATTAGCAAGACAGTGTTTCCAGATTCTCAGGGGTAGGATATTTAGGGGATTATATCGCATCTAATTTAAGTCTCCATTTCAAAAAAAGTAGTATTTATTTGCACGAAATGGATCAGTTTCAACACAAAGTCTCTACACATGGCCTTTTGGAAAGATTAATACAGTTAACATATTTTGAAAGGGGATGTGAATCTTCATGTTTCTTCTTAACATCTCCTCATGAGTTTATAAGTTTCCTTGACCATTTTGACCACCTCACTGAATGCCTGTCTTGGATACATTTCTGTTGCTGTGCCTTACAGCTCAGGAAGGTTTCAGTATTGCAAATTCTTCTGCATATCTAGGCTTAGTCCAGTCAAAGTTCACAACTCTCAACACTTACAAACCACACTGACAACACTACACCTTTAAATTCACTTTAAAGGTATCACTATCTGTTCCTGAAATGTTTCTACTTTAACACTATGATGTGCAAGTCATTACTCTTAGACATAACTAAGTGCACATAACTTTCTCATTTGCTGGGAAAACTGTCATCAAATAATTATTCACCAGTAAGTTTTTACTGTCTTTATGTATGTATTGTCATCACTCATCAATAGTCAAACTGAATTTAGTCCACAAGAAATTGAAGTAAGCCTCGGTGACAGGAAAACTTAGGTTCCAATTTTTGAAGTTGCAATGCTTATCTATAAGGTTTTTTACTTTATTTTTCATAATTCTTCTTTGCATCCTATTCCCCTTCACGTACGCTTTCTACCACCTAAACTGTAAACAACTCAGACGTTGTTTAGAAGTATAACTTTACCATAACATATGAGCAAGATTATATAAAACTGACATCATCAACAGAAGGATTTATTTACCTTTATTTACAGATTACAGGACCATCCATCTAGACTTGCAGTTCTTTTTAGAGCTAAGCTTTATAATTACAGAATTCAAATTAAACTACTGAATTCCATTACCACACTCATAATGTCAAAAGCACACAAATTCTGAAATCCAAGTACCCTATACAACTAAAAAAATTCTTCTCCATTTTCATTTACTATCTCCATAAATGCTCATGAAAACAATAGATGAGCTAACATATCTAGTCCCTCTCCCTCATCAAGGTACACTGCAAAAGCATTTATCTTTCAAATTGAATCAATGCACTATTAAAGCTCTTATTGATATAAAGTGAATGCATAGGAGGCAAGCAGCCTCAGTTTCATAACTGAGCAGAAAAAACACAAAGACGTTGAATGTATCTTTTGAGAAAAAAACCCAAAAGATTCTTGTGGAAAATACGAGCTGCTGATTCTGTGTCTCATTTGAGTCTTATTTGTGATGCCTACATTTACCCTCAGAATATGGTTGGAATCAACAAACAAGTAACAGGAATGTGTTGTTCTCTAGCATTTTTTAGCTATTCTGATAAAAACTGACACTCAAAAAGATGACAGAGATGTTTTCAGCATTTCAAAATGTACAGGAAGTATGGGAGGTGGTGTCACTGAATCTGTGGAAGTGAGGTGCTGATCTGTTAAATATTTACTTGTCCTGATAACATTACAAAAAGGGTTTCAGTATAGCATTTACAGAGAACAGTTCTGTTATTCCCTGCTTCTACCTTTGCAAATGATCAAAGTACATATAAGGGTATTAGTCTCTTCACAAACTTTTACTGGTGGAAGCTTTACACTTTTTTTGGTCTTAAAGACAATACCATTAACATTATTCAATCTAAGAGCGCACTCGTTCTTTAGAGTTTCATCTAATGTGCTTTGCTTTGTTAGGTAATAGTAGAAGTGAGGTATCAGATGTCCATGCTTTTCCCCCAGCATGAATGATGTTTGGATAGAAATGGTCAACGACCCATTTTAGGTCAGGAGAAAAACAATCTCGAGTGCTACATGTGCGGAAGTACTTTAATCTTGTGAAACATGACCCTACTAAGTCTATCTTGCTTGTCTTTGATCTTTTAACGCAGTTCACTTGTTCTATTACCTCCTTTTAAATATAGCAGTCCCATCTTCCAATGTTTAAACTATATGTTGTTCACAGCCAGCTGTACTTCTTTCATGCACTCATACTGGCCCTCAAGCTATTTGAAAATCTGTCCTGAAATAAGCATTCAGAGTCAAAACTACAAATGCAGTCTGGGGTCTGCATTTTGACCAGATAGGCTTTTCCATTTCCAGCAGAAAACAATTTTTAACTGCACACACCAATTCCAACTTGATAATATACTTACATAGTGGGATAAGAAAACCTGGAAATTTGCATTTGAGCACATATTTGCTAATTCGTTGCTACAACAGATTCCTTTTCTGGTCCAGCGAACTTCAAGTAACTTTTTAGAACTGAAACAGGGATGAACCACCTCTGGAAAATACTGGTCTTGCCAGACAACATCACTTCTGCAGAGCTGCCTTTGGGAATTTCACTGGGAAGAGTGGCTTACCCATACAAAGAAGAAAAAAGCTAAAGAGATTTCACAGAGACATTTATCAATATGCAGCCTTTATCTTAGTGTTTTAAAGTGTTTAAAAGATCTGAGGTCTTCTTAGGTACAATATATGTTAAAATATAGGACTGAGAAAACTGAGAGTTTATATAAGGAACTGAGTTCCTTATAGTTATAAGGAACTGAATGAAAAAAGAAGAGACCAATTTTTTTCCCCTGGTTTTACACAGTGTTTTGCGGGCCCAGGGTACTATTGTCATATTAGCACTCAGCAGCAAGAGATGATTCAGAGTAGAGCTGTCCTACTGTGGTTTCCAAAAGATATTGACAAAAGGAGTTGCATAAAATAAAATCTGAATGAATGAATCTGAGTGACGCATTTATGTAATTTCAAAAAGTTAAATTAACTTAGGTTTTAACATGAAATATTATTTTCTATTTGGACCAATCCATGGTGAAACAATTAACAAAATGCTGAAAGTGTAATATTTTCGTACTAACTTGACTGTCTAAATGCTGGAAACTTTGCTAAAAGAAGATTTTTTTTCCTGTCAGTCTGATACCAGTCCTACAAAATCAAAGCAGGAAACCTAGAAGTTTTGGAATTTTTTTTAATATTTAGCTTAATACAAAAATTATAACCAAGCTCTTCATCGTTTGGAAGCAAATTCACCAGAAAGTGATGAAAGGAGAACACATTTTTCCCTTATCTGGAAATTTTCTCCAATTTAACCTTCTGCAATTTTCAACTTTTTCCCATTCTTTACTGTATGTATAGATACATTCACTTTCATCGGAACCTTCATTTCTAATATAAAACTCTTCTTTTAACTGAACTGCTAGAATTCTTAATATTTCAGTATCTTTATTGCCCACCAAGTATCCTATCTGCTGCATGCAACAGTTACCATCCCTTAGTTTAGCAATTCTGAAGAATATTTTTCCCATGAACAGATATAAAAGCTTATGTTGCCTCGCAGAAAATAGAAAGAAGCAAGTCCATTTTTATTAGTAAAGCGTCATCATCTGTACTATCTTCTTATAAAAAACTCTTTTCTACATGGGAATTTTGCACCTTATTTTCAAATAGTGTTTTCCTCAGCAGATGTTGAGTGTGAGACAATGACAAACTTATTTTATTATAATCAATGAATAGGGAGTGAGAGTGTACACGCATTACTAATTTTTAGATTGCCAGTCTGCAGTAATGCTACAGCTGGGGACTACAGGCAGGTCTAGTTATCCTAGTAAGACAAAACCCAGGTGTTCCCTTTGCATCTCTTTCGTCTTTCTTCTCAGCTAGAGTATTAAAAGACTTGTGTTCAGACTGCAATTTTCAGCAAATCCTTTGCACATCAACACTGTTAACCAGCAGATATGCTGTGACAATTGCTGAAGTCTTATTTTCAGCAAAACACATTTTGCTCCCCTCCACATGCAAGCGTTTCCACATATGCTTCTGCTATCACATTTACAAAAGACGTAAATTAATGTAAAATTACCATATGTTCCTGACAGGATTGAATTCTTCCTACCAATTTTTCA